TCAATACTGACAAGTGCAGGGTGCTGCACTTGGGCAGTAGTAACCAGCAGCACACTTATAAGATGGGAAACTCCCTTCTTGAGAGCATGGAGGCAGAAAGGGATCTTGGAGTCATTACTGACTCCAAGATGAACATGGGCCGACAATGCGAGGTCACGGTAGGCAGGGCTAATCGGACCTTATCGTGGATCCACAGGTGCATCTCAAGTAGATCCAAGGAGGTGATCTTCCCCCTCTATGCAACACTGGTCAGGCCACAGCTGGAGTACCGTGTCCAGTTCTGGGCACCCCACTTCAAGAGGGATGTGGACAACATTGAGAGGGTCCAGAGGAGGGCCGAGGGCCACCCGCATGATCCAGGGACAGCAAGGCAGACCCTACAATGAGAGACTACGGGACCTGAACCTGTTCAGCCTTCACAAGAGAAGGCTGAGGGGGGACCTGGTGACTGTCTATAAACTAACTAGGGGGGACCAGAAGGGTTTGGGGGAGACCTTGTTTCCCCTAGCGCCCCCCGGGATAACAAGGAATAATGGCCACAAGTTGTTGGAGAGTAGGTTTAGATTAGACATCCATAAGAACTACTTCACAGTCAGGGTGGCTAGGATCTGGAACCAACTTCCAAGGGAAGTGGTGCTGGCTCCTACCCTGGGGGTCTTTAAGAAGCGGCTTGATGCCTACCTGGCTGAAGTCATTTGAGCCCAGTTTTCTTCCTGCCCAGGCAGGGGGTCGGACCTGAAAATCTGCAAGGTCCCTTCCGACCCTACTTCTATGACTCTATGATGTCTGCTTAGTCTCTTTAAAAGTTTGGGAGTCACACTGGAAACAGGGTGGCTTTGATTTAAATCACCAGTCAGGAAGCTTCAATTTAATCATCAGGAATCAAAACTTGTGGCAAAGGTGATATGTTTTAAACAGTTTTCTGCAAAAAGTACATTCTTGTTTGATATCATTTATTCATTTAACTTCTTTAAACTTTGCACTTTTAGAGAAAGGTAAGGGCTTGACTCTGTGTACACCAACTTGCAGGGAGACACGAGGGCTGATAGGTAGGTAATCAGGTCTTATCTCTCATCTCCATATACTGCTGTTAACAAGGACGTCATCTCTGAAGACACAAATCCACCGTATGAGAACCAAAACTAAACATCACAGAGATGCTTAATGGGACCTTCTAGACTGACCTCCGAGTCTCAGTGTGTAGATTGGTTTTCTTTAATTTTTACTAATCTATAGAGGAGCCTCTGGGAACCCCACAAGATTGGGTCCCTAACATAGTCCACAGCCTGTTGTAACCTACTTATAAAAACTTTTCTAAAAAGTTGACATGAATATATTGTCTCGAATAGTATATCAATAGAAGTTATAATCCCTATTCCAGGATGGGATCTTTGATCTTTAACATCATCTTAAATTAAAACTATCTTTATATAGGTTTATTATTTTTTTAAATAGTATCTTTAAAAAAATATGATTAAATAAAAAAAATCTGATTTAAATAATAATTGATTTTTTTAATTTTAAAAAAAAAGAAAATCATTGATTTTTATCGTCCCTGACTGGAAAATAGCAGAACTGATGGGAAAGCATGAACTAGGTCTGGAAAGAAAGCATCAAGAAGTGAATCTACATTCATAGCTTTTCCTGAACAGGATGGGCATGGGTAAATCTTGGAGGCACATTGGCAAGAAGCAACTCCCTCCTGCTTCATGTGGTGGTATACTGGAATTGGGACATTCTGTTATTTTTAATGAAATATCCAAGTAAAGGAACATAGCGGATCGTGGGTAGGAAGGTTAATTTTCTTCACTAAACTAGTCAAGAAAAGGATGAGGGAGGAGGACTGTTAAAATAAGAGACAGAACCCAGAAAGTGTCCAGTCTTGTTGCCATGGAGGATTGCGGCTGCTCCACAATCCAAGTTTAACCATGGGACTATGAGGACATACGGGACAAATGAATTGCCCCAGTGGATATCACTATACAAACTAATCCAATCTTGAACAGAAGGAATAGGCAGCACCTACAGTGAATCCAACTGACAGGTACTCAAAGAAAAGCTATCCTTAATACTCTATTCTGAACTGCTACAAATACAAACTATAGAATATCATCTAGTAACTTCTCCAACCAACCTACAACTTCTATAGGAATTATAGCATCTCTTTTGGAATGACATTCAGTCTTGGTCGTAAGGTCCCTTCCAGTCCTTAACATCTATGAATTATGAAAGATGAAGTGATGGGGATTCTATCAAACCACAATGTAGGTTTAATGATGTAATTAAAAAAATTGCACTTAACATGTCCCCATGCCTTTGGTGGGCTGCTCGAATTGAGAACTGCCTTCATTTGGATGGAGTCTTTTTGAGAGGTGCCTTCCTGCTCTGTATGCAGATTTTCTGGACTTGTCTAAAGCAGACAAATTTCCAATCTGAATTTGTCTAGATTCAGCTTTCAACCTCTAATCTCAATATAGCTTTTCCTGATGGATTAAAAATTTTTTGCCTGCTACTCAAAATCTCTATCCTATGTCTTTGCAAGTCTTTCCCACGTATTTGCAGATGGATTAGGTCACATTTAACCTTCTTTTGGATAAGATTTTCTTATTCACTATAAAATATATCCTAGATTTTAGGATACTTGTAGTTCTTTCAGAAGTTCTTGTAGTTGTAGTTATCTGAGTAGTTCTTGTAGTTCTTTCAGAATCCTCCATAATTTTAACACAATTTTTGAAGCACATGTACCAAACCAAGAAACAATACCTCAGTAGTGCTCTTACTGACAGCGTAATCAAAGATACTACTAATCTCCGCTCCCTACATCTGCATCCAAAAATCTTGTGCTTTCTTAGCTACAACTTCACACTGACCACATCTGACACTTTTTTGTCCCGCAGGCCAAACAGGCACTGCAAGGTACATGTCTGCAGGTTGGATGGGAGATTCCAGGTCTGTCTGTGGGCTGGATCTGGTTGGTACGCAGGGATGGCTCAGCAGGGCCCTCTCTGGCAATGGGGGTGGGAAGGAAATGGGGGATGTGCAGCCCTTATCCAGATACGCAGGGGATTGGTTCTGATCCAGATGCATTGCAGGTGGAAGGAGTAGCTCAGCCCTGATCTGGATGTGTGGGGGTGATAGGGAGCAGCCTGGACCAATCGGGCCATGTGGGAGGAGTGATAGGGAGGGAGGCAACCTGCCCCATATCCCACTGTGTGCTGGGTGGGGAGGGGGTAGATGGGGAGCAGCCTGGCAATTCTGAGTTGCTGGGGTTTTTTTTCCAATTAGAGAGGACCCATTATACATATTATAAGGACAGTATTGTAGGATATGGGAAAATGAAATGCATGGCCACAATTTTTATTTCTCTGTTTAAGATACAGAATTTTAGGGCGTGGCCCCATAAAAACAGTCTGTCCACATAGTCCTGCTGTATCTGCACTAAAAAAGCGAAAGAATGAGAGAAAGCCACCATTAAAGTGCGTCTGGACATGCCAATATGCACATCCATGGCAGAGGTACCTGGCATACTAAGCAGTGGTTATATTACATTTTTGGCATGTAGTAAAGAACAGTGGGAGCAAGGGGGCAGACAGTGTTTTTACAGCAATTCTCCCAGCACTGTCAGAAGCCCAATAAATTTGTCCTGAGAGAAAATAATTCATGAAGTCTTACTTCAGAATGCTTTTGTCCAATTCCTTTTGGTTTCCCAAGAGCAACTGCAACATGGTGGTGATCATCTAACCGGGTTTCCTAGTTGCGAGAGAGAGAGAGAAAGAGAGAGAGAGAAAGAGGCAAGACAGAGACAAATTGTACAGTTTCAGTGTATTCCATTTCTCCTTAGGTACACACTTAAGCTTAGTACCCACAGAGTACCTGATTTTTTAAAGAAATACTCGTAATTTGTCCAAGAAAAAAAATCAATATCCTTGAAATACAGCAAACTACTACTGTAGAATAATGTGAATTCTAAAGCCAAATTGCCACTCAAGTATACTGACTGTAAGGTAATTCTTTGTATTAATTTGAAAAATGCATTTATATTGTCATCCAAACATGGTGATACAATTTTTGCACAAACTTGCTAAAGCAGAGATCAAGCACAGACAACTCTATCCAGAAAAGTGAGTTTTATAAAGTCCTGAGCGACTGAATACTAGAGACTTTTGCACACTACAACTGTTCTTAACATATGGCTACTACAATGATTCTGTTGTGACAGTAATGCTAAAGCAAACATTAAGCTTTCTTTTAGGGGTGCACTGATAAAGATTTTTTGGGTCAATACCGATGACTGATTATTAACGAGCCATATTGGCTAATACCAATCTGATTCCCAATATGCAGCCCGGCAGCTTGGAGAACAATGTCCAGCTGGTAAATCTGTTGGGGGAAAAGTGGTTGGGGAGGGGAGCAGATAGAGGCCCCTGCACTGAAGGAGGGAGTGGGACTGGGGTAGGGGCAGGTGCTGCTCAGTCAGGGTGAGGAGGGGTGCTGGTCAGAGCCATGACCTGCTTGTCCAAGGGGGCATGGGAAAGTGCTTCTGTCACTGCATGCACCACTGGGGGAGGCATTAGGGGGCGTGTGCCCCCTGGATTTGTGCACGGGGCGAGGGTGGGCTGCTGTTGCACACTTGGGACAAGGGACAGCACCGGGCTCTTCCCAGCCCAGTGGGGCTGGGCCGGGGCTGCGTTTGGAGTGGGTGGTGGCACTGGGAGGAGGGGTTATGGGGGAGTGTGTAGCTCTCCCTCCCAGAACACAACTCCCAATGCCTCCCTCGGGGGTATGCACAGTGGCGGGGGGCCCGCCCCCCCCCCCCCCCCGCCCGCCGCC